CAATCTTGGTGGTTCACTTCAGTTTTCCAGCATGAGGTGATCCACGTTTCCCGAAATATGGATCCCATTCCAAGAGAGATTGTGTAGAGCCTTCACTTCAGTTCTTTTTTTTTCTACCAAGAGGAGAGGGTCCCCAAAGGGTTACCCATGTCCAAAGAGAGAAAGTGTAGAGCATTCATTTCAGTTTTTTTTTCAAGTTTAGGGGAGGGAGGTCTCAAAATGACACCCCCCCATTTTCAAAGAGAGATGGTGTTGTAGAGCGTTCATTTCTGTTTTTTTCCAAAGTTAGGGAGTTTTCAAATGGCTACCCATTTCAGAGAAAGAGAGAGAGAGAGAGAGAGAGAGAGAGAGAGAGAGAGTAGAAAAGCGTAGAGCGTTCATTTCAGTTTTCCAACATTAGAAGGTCCCAAAATACCTTCTGAATTCAAAGAGAGATCGTGTAGAGCGTTCATTTCCAGTTCTCCAAGATCAGAAGAAGAGGGTCCGCTTTTCCCAAAAGGGCTTTCCGTATTCAGAGACAGCGAAATGCAGACTTCAGTTTTCTCCCTCCCCAAGAATAGAGGGTCCCAAAATGGCTTCCCATTTCAAAGAGAGAGGGAGAGGCGTTCATTTCCATTCTCCAAGATAGGGTCGTCTGCTTTTTCCCAAAATGGCTTCCCAATTCAAAGAGAGAGAGAGAGTAAAAAGGGTGTGTAGAGCGGTCATGTTCATTCTCCAAGATAGGGTCGTCAGCTTTTTCTCAAAATGGCATCTCCCCATTCAAAAAGAGATCGCAACCAATTTTTCCAGTTTTTTCCAAGATGGGGGGAGAAGAAAACCTAGGATGGAATAACACGACACACAGAGAGAAGAGAAAAAAGAAAAAAAAAACGCCATCTTGTCATTTTCTGATAGGGTACCGGTGTTCGAATACTTTTGTGACCGACTGTACTGTTAATATGGTACATGCCAGAAATACAATATCATTAATACACGGGGTCCATATAAGCAATAAGAAGGACTAACAACACCGCAGAGTACAGAAAGCAACATATTAGAAGTCTACAATTCATTTGGCGAGCAAATTAAGTTGTATTATTATACTTAAGGCTATCATTTCTGGATAATTTAGTTACAGTAATTTTGCAAAGATAGTAAAGCAGTTCCTTCAGCAATATTAATTTTCTAATTATTAAGGCTTTTTTCTTTCATATTATTGAAAACAGAGTAATACACAGCATGCATTTAAATGCAATCAAAATTTAGGAAATGTATGATTTAAGAATATAGAAACGTTTAAAAAACAAATATGCTAAAATTCTTGTAAAATATAAAATTTCATTTTCTATCTGTACTTATAATTTGTTATAATTTGTTATGATTTGTTATGATTTGTATTATGAATGAATAATATAACTTAAGCAAATATTTTATTATTATAGTTTTAAAATTTGCATTCCATTACTATCCAGTGCACCATGATATATTTCATACAAAATTTCATTTATAAAATTAAGATCCATATATTACTAAGATTTTGTTGAATGTAAGTGTTTAAAATTTAGTACCAATTTTGACTTTGCATTTAATTATATAAATTTACCTGCAGAAATGTGCAAAATATTTTGCTAGTATCTTACGAATGTAATCATTATGTCTGTGGGGATATTGTACACAGGTCATCATATTAAATAAACATCCACCCTTTTTCCATGTGTTCACAGAAAGTACGATGACAGTCAAATGACATTAAGATAAACTGCATAATGTTTTTATGAGTGCATTTATCTGTGTATGAATAATATTTTTCCACAACTAAACTCATAACTCTAAATTTTTTAATTCATAGTGTAAGGATCTTAAGTTTTACTAACGTTTATTTTATTTTAAATCTTTACTATCACTTCTTATTTTCTACTTCCGGCCAGAATTATAAGCGTGAAGGAGTTTATGCAAAGTTGTCTGGCGAACGCCAAGTATTTAAGTGTGGCCTTTTTGCCAAGCAGAAGAGAGGAAGCCGTGAGTTCGAAGCAGGTCGCTTACCTTAGAAGTTACGCAGTTGCTACTTTGCCTTCCAGGCCAGAGGTTTTAATCCTCTTGATAAATTAAACGTATTGTAGTGTTCACAGTCTCTGTGCTACATACGCTTCCTGTTATTATAAGGCCAATCTTATTCTAAAGTTAAATTAGAGTTTAGTTTTATTTTGATATCTTTTAAGTTAGACCCCGAGTGGAGGGTCATTGTATTCCGAAGTACGGAAGTCATTGTATATAAAGAAAAAAAATAAAGGGTTTTGTATACCCTTCGTCTGTATCCTGTCTACTTACTACAATTAGTGAACATAGCTTTAGTAAGCTCTCTGTTCTAGTCAGGTCATTGTATGTTTCCGAAGAAGGTTAGAAGAAACATTGAACCTGATAATAGAATGGTTAAACTGAATATGCTAAATGAAATGTAATATTTAAGTTATTATGTAAACATATTTCTTTTTTGATACCAAAACAAACACATACAGCATTCAGTCGTATCAATATCTGCCCACCAGTGGCCGAGCGGTAAAGTCGCTGAACACTGGTAGTTCGGTCCGAGGTTCGAATCCCGCGAACGAGCTGGCTGCATGGGCGTTTTCGTGGTTTTCCCCATGTGTAACGTGTATACGAGCCAGTTTCCCTTAAAAAGTCCTCCTCGAAGGCATCCCTCCCTTCAGGAGCATAGCCCTCGAGGCTTTGTCATAATCACACACGCCACACCACCAATTAATATTTAGGATTTACTTTTCTGAAATAAAAAAATGATGATGACAATCCAGAAAATGACTACATGTTTCAATTCGTTATTCTTTTTATAAATTAATCAATACATAAGTGAAATAAATATAGAAACCTAAAGGATAAAATTCTAAATATACAATATTAATAACAAAACATAATAGAGGATATGCAACTATTCTTTTAATATCTTTTACTCATTATTTTATAGAAAAAGTTAACATCTTCTATCTGAATACTTTTGGAAATTTTTATTTTTTTTTTTTGCTAAAAAGTAAAATTCAAAGAATTAAGATTTAAATTAAAATTAAGTCTCAATTTTTTATATAGAATTACATAATGCAGCTGCTGATTTTAAAGAGTCTGCTGATTAAGTATTACACTTCCTTTCAGTTATAGCTTCAATAGTTCATTTGTTTATGTTTCTTGTTGCTGCTTTACATCAGGAAATTACAAACAAGTATTAGAATCTAGCGACTTATAATTTTATGCAATTCCTTTTTTTAATCTATTAAAATTAATCATATATTACAGGAAAAGCTCATGCGAGTTCATTTGAAAAAAAAAAAAAAAAAAAAAAAAAAAAGAAAAAAAAAAAAAAGAAAAAAAAGAAAAAAAAAGAAAAAAAGAAACAATTGGAACGAAAGTTGGCTTTAGCAAAAAATTAATTTAAATTTCAGCCAAATTAGATTCCAAACATTAAAGACAAGTTTGTACAGCTTTATAGAATAAATATTCTTAATTTGAATTTCTTCTATATCGCTACACTCAGGGCTTAATTTCTAAAATTAGAAGTGCCGGAACCCTATGGAATACCGTTAGTAAAGAGGAACAAGAGTAAATAAATAAATAAAATGACTATTAAAATCATTTATAATTTAAAAAAAACAAATAGTTAATGTTAATTATTATCAAATTAATAAATAATTATTTAATTAATATTTATCAATTATTATCTAACCATTAATTAATAATTGATTATTATTTATTAAAATAATTCAATAAAATGCAAAGAGGTGAATTAACATTTAATAAGAGATTTTTTAATATAATTTTATTGCTGCTAAAAATAAAATCTTTGAGATTAAATTTCTACTGAAATTGTAGTTCCGTTAATTACATAAAAGAAGTGCTGGAGCCTTCTTATGTAGGGTTCCGATGCGTTCTGGCTGGAATTATCATTTATGACATGAACTGAAAAGTACCGGAGCCGGCACAATTTAAGCTCTGACTACACTACATATTTTCCAGTTCTTGTGAAATGTGGGTTTTCAGTCTGTTGAAGCTAAAATGAGTAACGGTATAAACAGCTGAATCTTGAATGGCAAATTCTGTAAGGAAGTTTGGAAGATTTTTGGTGAAACAATAAATTACTGAGGGAACTTTTCGTAATTAAGACTTATTCTATACAGTAAACAATATTTTAGGTAGTTAAGTTTCAACTGCAAATATTAGAATTTTTACTTTTCCGATGAAAAAGAGAAAAAATTTCAAAAGGAAATACGAAACTACTATTAGGAGATGCTACAGCGAACTTCAGTGACGTCACAGCCGAACGAGTCGCTGGCTTTTCGTTTGTTTACTCCAAGTGAGCTAACCTGTTCTTTCTACGGACCTTGGTCGGATCTGTCATTTAAACCAAATCGAAAAGAAGGAATCCTAAGTACGCAAGGAGGTTAGAATAGATTCTAACCTATTTTAACCTCCTTGTAAGTATGCAAGCTGCCAAAGTCTGTTGTAGTGAGTCCTCCCCCCCCCTTTTTTTTTTTTTTTTAAAAAAAAAGGCCGGTTACTACTTTGACGTGGTTTATCATTTTTTAAGCGTTAGAGACTTTCAAAAGATTTTCTTATATATATAAAAAGAAAGAACATTTCTTTTATTTATGTATATATAAAAAAGGGCAGATTTTTATGTTCGCATAACCTATTCCAACCGTTCGTTCTCCTGGACGCTGACTCTCCCCCCCCCACACTTCTTCTACTACTAGTCTTTCTTTTCTTTTCAGATTGTTATCAGAAGCAGAATAAAAAAGATGTTTCTACATCTTTTGACTCTTGAGAATAAAATAGGATCTGTGTGTGTGTGTAGATTCTTGCTGTTCGACGTTGGACAGGTAGACACAAAGGAGGTTAGAATACACACTTCACTTGGGTATATAGACCCAAGGTTTCTAAATATCCTAAGAAAGTATTTTATTGATCTTGGATAGACCAAAGAAGGTCTATATTCTTTCGATAGACACTTCGAGTTGAGTGGGTGTTTTCCAAATTACAATATTCAGTTTTTCACCAACTGGTCGGAAGATTTGAAATTGTGCACTGAAAGAGTGGAGGTTGAGAACCACGTTATATTAAATTCGTCGAAGTAAATAACGAGAAGTAAAGGGTATGTACTGAGGCAAAGTATATTATGTTATAATATTTTGTAACGCAGATCATCTTTTTTATACTATTTCTGTTTGTTGTTGGTGTTGGATCATTACATTTTTCATATCTGTATAAAGAATGTAATTTAAAGGAGTTCATAGATTTCGTTTATTGTAAAATTTTTATTTATATAGCGACTCCACACTATGGAGTGGCCAGTGTTCTCTTATTTCCACTATGTAAACAATAATTAGAAAAATCCGAGATGATGGTAATTTACATATAATGTATGCGTATTATTTAAATAAAATAGTTTAAGTGTAGAATGTTTAATGAATCTGTGTATTTTTACAGTTAAGGTTGTCGTAAAAATATATTTCTTCGGAAATAATAGCCGTGAGGTTTTTTTAATTGATTATGCTAAATTTATAATCTAATGCTTATAAAATATATTTAGGGGGGGATGTACAGATGAATCTTTGTTTATGTGTACCCCTTTTTCGATTTTCGTTGAAAGTCATAAATTTTGAGTGAAATCACATATCAAGGAAAGTTTTTTTTTTTTAAATCTTAATTAAGCCATTTTTTAATACAAAATATCAAGCAACCTTAGCCAAACTCAAAATGAGAATTTTTCTATAAAAGACCTTCAAACATTTACCTTGTTTCTGTTGTAGAATTCAACTTTAGTTTCAGCCAACATTAAGAGATAAGTCTGTGTTTTTTAAAGTATTTAGGAATTAAATATGAAGTGTTCGATCTGTAAGCAATACTTATATTCATTATGTCTTTATCAAAAAGCATTGAATTTATCTTACAATCATAAGGTAGTTTATTAGGTACTTATGTATTATCATAACCACCGTAATAGAAGTCACTAAATTTTCAGAATGTGCCAAACTGTAGTAACCATGTGCATAAACAATCTTCAAGTAACCATTCTCATGATAATCTTTATGTCAAGCAACAATGCCATTTTTTGTATGTATTTGTTTTGTTGTATTTCAAGTTCCAATAGTTTTTGTAGGCAAACTGTGATATTTTTTTAATTCTCCTCAATTTTAAAATATTATTTGTAGAATTTGCTAGCAGTGGAAGTAACTGCAGTAAAAATTTGGCTGGAATTAAATGTTTTACTGTAAACTTGCTAAAGGCAGCTAAATAATATGAGTTTGAGCAGCGCACAATGAACTGGAAGTTGATTTCTCTTTAAGAGTCTTCTGGTTGATCTTTACATTATGGTAACTTGGTGATTTTTTGGCGAAAATTTGGCGACCAACTCTCCTACAGCAACCCTCTATTTTTTTTTCCCCTCCGCCATTTTGTCTTCACGAAGTAAAGACATGTTTCTTTTCTTTTTATCTCCTGAACACTTCTTCCAACAATCTACTAGCCGAATTACACTTATGCTAGAAATTTTATCAAACAAAACTGCTTAATCATGACAAATATTCACTGCAAAATTAGGAAAAACTGCACAATACCATTTTCCTTACGCATTTTTCAAAATAACACATACACATAAACCATGTACACACCGACTTATTTTTACTTAAAAAAACATCCCAGAATTGCACAAAAATGGAATTGCGCACAGTCTCCACTATATCCATGTACACTGCTTTTTTCTCATAAATTAAAAAAATTTCACGAAAATACATGACAATTTTCTCAATCTTTAAACCCGGTAAAAAGAACATATATGAAATTACCTGATCGCGAAAAAGTATTTACCCTTTACAAATATGAACATTTCCACATATAAAATAAGTAAAATATCCAAAAACTTTTACCTCTAAATCATCTATTACATTATACACGTCACCAACGAATTCATACCGCAAGCATTACAAATACTTAGTATCAAATATTTAAATTATTTCCATGCACGTTTATTTCAACTTAAACGTATACCAAATTCCTACAAGCATAAAATTCACAAAATAACTATCATTTCATTAAAATATCACTAAACCATGTACACGTCGACTTATTTTTTACTTAAAAAAAATCCCAGAATTGCACAAAAATGGCATTGCGCACACTCTTCACTATATCCATGTACACTGCTTTTTTCTCATAAATTAAAAAAATTTCATGAAAATACATGACAATTTTCTCAATCTTTAAACCCGGTAAAAAGAACATATATGAAATTACATGATCGAGAAAAGTATTTACCCTTTACAAATATCAACATTTCCACATATAAATAAATAGAATATCCAAAAACTTTTACCTCTAAATCATCTATTACATTATACACGTCACCAACGAATTCATACCTCAAGCATTACAAATACTTAATATCAAATATTTAAATTATTTCCATGCACGTTTATTTCATCTTAAACGTATACCAAATTCCTACAAACATAAAATTCACAAATAACTATCATTTCATTAAAATATAATTAAATTCAAAACAACTACTTAAAATATAATGAGCACATACATTAAATTAATAAAAATTACCTTACAATCCTAATTACTTTAAACTAAATCATTGCTAATAACAATTTTCCCAATAATACCAAATTCCTTTCCACCTTACATTTACAACAATGCATAAAAATAATATCCTCAAATAATTAAAAATACTAACTTACCTAATCTTCAGAATCTTGATTACGTGGCGGATACACTTTTCTTACTTCTGTTTCAGAATTTTTAAAATCATACTTATCTTTCAAAGCAAGATACCAGGTAAAATAAATAACATAATAAAACATCTTTATTTCTCTCTCACACAACCTTAAAAAACATTTATTACTATCCTTTTCAATACCACTAAATACCCATTTCGAATTCACTTTAGTTACGGCCATGGGATCCAAAAATTCACAAACACTATTTCACACAACACAGAATAAAGCCAAATACAAAATTGCCTGATTTTTTCCCGATTAAAGAACAGTAATTCGTCCATTAATATCACATAACATATCCCATGATCTCTCATTTCCCTCACACAAAATAATGCGTAATCAGAACTGAATACTACTCACATTCTTAACAAAGTCTAACTAACCTAATCTTCCTTACATGGTGGATACACTTTTATTATGGATTCAATAAAATTACTGAACGATTTTTTTTTCTGAATTTGATAGAATTTGATAAAAAAAAATCTCTTTATCACATCTACAATTCACTTTAGACAGCGCCATACAATCCCAAAAATTATTCAACCCTACTTCACACAACACACAATGAAGCTTAATACAAAATAATATACATCCACAGATACTTGTCCAAATTCCCCCCTTTTCCGATTAAAGAACCGTAATTCGTCCATTAATATCACATGACATATCCCATGATCTCTCATTTCCCCCACACAAAATAATGCGTAATCGGAACTGAGTACTGCTCACATTATTACCAAAGTCCCAGGTAGTAACCTTTATCGCCTCCAAAATGTCGCCAAACTACCAGTTACCATATTGTAAAGATCAACCTGTCTTCTTAATACATTTCAGTGAATAAAAAATAGCCATAGCTTCCTCTTGATAAAGAGTTATAAATATTTAGTTTAAATTTATTATTCTCAATCTCTGTTCCATAATAATATATAACATATGCGAAAACAATGGCGTCTCCCAGACCTGACTCGTCTGTATAAATGTCCATTTCTCCTGTTTTTTTAGCATCCAAATAATACGGAATAAAAATTCTTTCAGCAGGGTGTGGTATCTCAAAGCCTTCAAATTTGCAGCTGTCATCATAAATCTTAGCTAGCATACTTTATACACTATTGCCAATTATTACAAGAGTGGCGTATTGTTCTGCTAAATTTTTTCTTACTTCTGTTGCACACCGAGGAAGTTAAGCTGAACTATGTTAGTTATTTGTTGTACTTATGTCTATTTTTCTCATATGCTTATCTGTGTCTCGAATAAATAAATTCCAGCGTGTACTTAAAACATATCGCAGCAACAGATCAGTTAAACAGTGCTTAATCTTTTGTCTTACAAATGTCATTTACAAAATCTCTCCTTTGCATATGGAAAGAAATTTCTGCTAAATTTCTTCTTCTCAATGCACTTTACAATTTGCAGCGCAGTTAGCTGAAAACTCTAATCATTGTCAAGCGTAACATCGACAATAAAGATTATTCGCTGTTTGGTATTCAAGTACTAATATTTTTCATAATGTCTTAGACATTGCTGCGTAAGTCATTTCTCAGACTGGCATGAGTTGATAGAATTGGGGTTGAAAGCGAAGAAAATAAAAAAATAACTCGTTAGGTTGGCATAAGGGTTATATGCTATTAGTAAGCCTAAAATCAGCAATAAACTTTTATAGAATGTTTTAGTTTTAAATGAATGCCGAGCAGTAAGGCAGCTATGGAGCCAAATTATTGATCATACAAATTCATGCTAATACATTATTGTATTTGTTTAACATGGAGGTGTTTTATTTAGTGGTGAAGTGAAATTAAAAATCAGGACCCTCCCTCATGCTTTATTATGGAAAAAAGTCTTCTGTGCATGCATGAGAAATTAAGCATATGCGAAAGCAATGTGTTACTCTGAATTTCTCCCTTTTGTTAAGCATTTCCAAACCGAAAGAAAAGACAACAGAATTACTGTGATCCAAATATTGGACATTGGATTTCGGACTTTGTGCACTAGTAACAAAATGGATTGTAATCGAAATATTCATGCATATAACTGAAACTGGACCGGACAAAATTTGAGTGTGTTATATCCTTCAAAACTGTAGAAATCATTGCGTTATTCACTTGATCCTCATTGTCCATATCACATTTAAATATTTTCACTGCATTCAACAAGAACTTTAATCAGATATAATACACAATAAAAATTCATCTTTATTTCAAGACTTCAAATATGCGTACTTCTCCTTGACAGCCAGTCTATGTTCTTCCTTTGCGCTTCTCCGAAAAACTTCCTTAGGATATTGAGTGCGAGGTACGCTCCTTATTGCTATCACTACAATATGCTTTTAAAATCTCATATAAAGTGCTGTGGTGGCTCAGAGGTATGTCATTTT